TTTTTTTGTTAATTAAAATAAGATTATTACATTTCAGCATTCTTAATAAAATCAATATAAAAAAAATTAAAATTATTATCTTAGCAGTATAACCAACCAAAGAATCTTACTCTTTACACATAGACAACCTTCAAACTCCACCTTTATTTCATTCTATTTACGAAACTTTCAGTAACGATCTCATCCAACGAGATTAGAGGGAGATTTCGTCGTTGTTTTGGACCAATTTTGCCAAAATGGCGTTATAAAAACTTTTTATTGACTATCCCGTTCGACGATTGCTTCCCTAACACCGCATAAACTTTGATAATATCTGCCCTCGATGGGAAATTAGACTATCAAGAAACATAGAGAGAACGGTTTGGTTGTTTTCTCACGGCGCGGCGCATTATGTTAAGGGAAGTGATGAATCGTTTCGGAAGACGTTAGCGTAATATTACAGTGGAAATTGAGCAGTAGATTATAACTATCAACTGAGTATTACAGATGGATAAATGGAAACAAGCAATCATAACGCCAAATATTGTAAATGGTGGTAATACACGCTTAAATAATTAATCGTGTATTCAAATATTACTACCAGATGTTTCATCGTGAATGCAGGGTGAATCGAAATTTCCATTGCTTCAAGGATTGTTGGAAATCTACATCAAAAATTACTAATAATAATCTAAAATATATTTGTAATGCCTATGTTTTTTATTTTACTTATCTTTAGAACGACGACGTTAGAACTTCTCTAAATGTATGTTTTAGGGCAAACAAATTATTGAATGGTAAATTTTAGAATTACAACTAATGACAATAATTAAAAAACATACTAGAAACTCTAAAAACATTAAAAATATGCCCTGAGAATGTAAAATCACACAAAATGTACAAACTATAAAGACTAGAGATAAGGAAGCGAATTGACAATAATTAAATGTCAAATTTTGGGGCCTCACAGTAGCAAAATATAGATCCCGGTACAGATATAGTTAAAAACCTGTCAGTGTTTTAGAAAGGTGTGTTGTTGTGTGAGAGATATGGCTTCGGATGGTGTCCATTTGCCACAAAATGTTTAAATAATAGAAACGGAATACAGAAAAGAATGAAATAAGAGTAGTGTCTCAAATATCTAGCTTAGTGTCGCATATAAATTTAATTAAAATATCGAGGATATGTTTATCGGTGCTTGTCAGAAGGGATGTCAAATTTACTGGTAGAGGAAAATTGAGAGAGATTAAAGATTTATATAGCCCAGATGTTTGTAATACATAATTTTGACATTCAAAGAAAAGGTGATTGGCGTCTCCAACCGACGTATTATTGCAAGTGCAAGTGGGAGAGTCTATGATTTTTATTTTATGTAAATGGGCAGGAAACCGTCCATGATTTAATTTCAGACGCGATAGTATAGAAGTATATTTTTTGGGTAAACCAAAATTGTTGAGATGAGGAATATTATTAGGAAGTTGCCTATGAAGTTGAAAATAATGACTATTTGAATTTTTAGAAACATCATGGTATTGGCTTATCCATCTGTTTCTTATGTTTTTCTTATGTGAATTGACGATATCAGGCAATGAAGAGACTTTGGTATATACACCGATCCTACAGGCAGCCTTAGCTTCTTGATCTACAATTTCATTTCCAGTGAGACCACAGTGTCCTTTAACCCAAATAAAATTAATATTTTTGTTGATAGTCCTCAGATTATAAAATAAATTTTTAATTTCAAATACAAGTTCTTGTCGATAAAACTTTATTGGAGAGCCTTGGATAGCCTGTAAGACCGACTTTGAATCAGACATAATAACGAACGCTTGAAATGGACTAAACTTACACCACAAAAAAGCTTTTTTTTAAAGATAACTAAGTGAAATTTGGTAAAAATGCTTAACTTTACGCTCTATTTAATGGACTAAACCCCAGTTTTTGATCATCTTCATAGGTGGGTAAATTAGGGGGGGGGGGGTTAGGGTAAAATTGCCCTAAGTTTTTTTTGTTGGCTGTTTTTACCATTTTTGACTATAAAATTTGAAAAAAACCATGATTTCTTTACAATAAAGTTACTTTTGTTGCATCTCGCTAGGACGCACCATTTTCAAGAAAAAAACATTTGACAGTTTCATGATAAGTTATTCGAAAATGTAAACAATAATTAGTATGTCTGTGAAATCAGAAATTTTATTTTTTTTACTTTGGAAAAACCAGTGACTAAAGAAATTTTAAAAAATATTTACAAAAATATGCCATCAGGACTTCACTTGTAACACCCTGTATCTTGAAAACAAAACGTTTTCGGACCTATGTTTATATGAACTTTTACTCCTATTTTAGGATGTAGATTACGCTGTTAAAATATGTCAGTCTAATTTCAGGACACCCTGTATATATATTAACTGTAATTAATAAACTTATTTTCGGTTTAATTAATCTTAATAAATAAAACAAAGTAGGGTTAGTTACACCATTTATAACTGAAGAACGGCTAGAACGAGTTAAATGCGATCTTTTATTTATAGAATTCGTCTCCACCCTGAATAGCAAAATAACTATTAAAATATCAAAAAATTCATGGAAAAAAATTGTATATATTACGGTTAAAGTGTTTACTTGGCTAGTATATAAACTAGCTGGATAGTATACAAACTATCCAAATGGCTCGCTGTTTTGATGAAAAATTATGTTTCTACTAAAATAGCTATGAATATTGGTTGATTTGTATATTATCCAGCTAGTTTACAAACTATACAAGATTTGTTGCTAAAGCGCAAATCACAAGAAAAGTACACAAGTTACCCGTTGTTTTTGAATAGTTTACAAACTATCCAAAGCATTTAGATAACTTATGGACCTAATATTTGTAGTAACACATAATAACCAACTCGTCGATTAGTATGTAAACTGACCAATTTTCTTTGGATAATTTAGTTTAGGATAGCCAAAAATAAAGTTTATTTATAGGTACAACATATCATTACTATAACTATTAAAAAATAAGTAAAAGTGACATAAAAATACTAAGTTCACTATATCACTATAATCACTTCCAAAAGTAGGTTTTCAAATTGTTGCTGTTGATTTATTTTCAATAGGTACCTACTCTTGAACAAACTTTGCAAGACACCCCAGTAAACACCACATAACACTTACCATAAACGTAAACTCACTTTTCTAATAAATTAACCAAAGAAGATTGGTCAGTTTGCATACTAACCGACGAGTTGGTTATTATGTATTACTACGAATATTAAGTTCACATCTTATCCAAATTCTGTGGATAGTTTGTAAACTAGCCAAAAAACACTGGTTAATTTGTGTACTTTTCTTGTGATTTGTACTTTGGCCATAAATCTTGTATAGTTTATAAACTAGCTGGATAGTATAGAAACCAACCAATATTCATAGCCATTTTAGTAGAAATAATATTTTCCATCAAAATAGCCAGACATTTGGATAGTTTGTATACTATCCAGCTAATTTATAAACTAGCCAAGTAAACACTTTAACTATATCATATATACTATGGCTGGTTTTAAATGACTTCATTTGGAACAGACATTACCGAAGAACACGGATTTAATCCGATATTGAAGGTAATTTATGTTATACAAAATTTGTTCTAATGTAGGTTAAATTAGAGGTAGAAAAGTGTTGTTAGGTCTCTGTATTTGTCTGTAAAATAAATAAGCCATGCTAATATTTTAAATGACTGTTAGGCAATACGAAGTTCGATGGGTGAGCTAGTTTTTTAATAATTATAAAAGCATATGCTTCAAAAGATAAAAAAAAACTTTACTTATTCGCTTACTCTGTTTAGGGAACGAATTTTGGCAGCAACTGGTATTAGTAAAAATACTTTGCAAATAATTAAAAAGGAAGGCAGAGCAGTAGATGCCAATGTAGCCATCACATCTTTTTCAACTCCGCGTAAGCGCAGGCCAAAAGGAAAAAAAAAACGAATTAAGTTAGTTATAGACAATGCTTCATACCACAATGTAACTGTGGAACGAAATATAACACCAGCAAGTCTCAAATTAGCCATGACAAAATGGCTAAAAGAAAAAGACATACCTTTTCAGGAATCAATGACAAAACCGGAATTGTACAAAATTATTAAAGATAATAAATACAGATTTCCGGTAGTTTATAAATTAGACAGATTATTGGAGGCACACGGTCACAAAGTCCTTCGGCTTCCACCCAATCACCCTGATTTCAACCCAATTGAAAAAATATGGGCTTCTGTAAAAAATTGGGTAGCAGCTAGAAATACCACATTCACTTTAAATAATGTAGAATCGTTAACACGAGAAAGGTTTGCAACATTGCAAGTTGAAGAGTGGGTCAACATTTGTCGACATGTCAAGGAATATGAAGCTACACAAATTTAAAAAGAACATTTGTTGGACTCCACAATGGACCATTTAAGGTTTACAGTAAATACTGGATCATCGGATGAAAGTTAATCAGAGAATGAAGACAGTGATGTAAGTTTAGGAGTACAACAGCTCTCTGATTTAGAATCGGACGAAAATTAGATTTGTGTCTCTATTTATATGTATTTTTACAATCCATTTTTCCAAGAGCTGGTCCCTTTGATTCTTTTCCAGACCACTGGAAAGATAAGCAGTCTATCGTGAAACTAACTTTGCATCCTTACCTCTACACTCCATTAGAAATTCCAAATAAAATGGTTGCACGTAGGATATGACAGCAATCTATATAACTATATATGTATCATTGGCCCTCTCAATTACAATAAGCCCACAGGGTTGCTATATCTAAACCAATGAAGTTGAATATCTAAACCAATTATCTAAACTGTCACTACCCACTGGCAGCATTTTGATAGATCGCTTAGACATTACCTAGTCCAAGATATGTCGCTTTATCGTCTTTTTTTATTTTTCATGACTTTTGCTCCAGTCATACAGTCAAATGAATATGTATTTTATTTTTTGTCACTTAAGTCAAAAAAAGAAGTAGAAAAATTTGGTATGTCAGTAATCAATTAAATGTCGCCTATCCAAAAAATAACCTAAATTCGCAAGTATGAACTCGAAATTAAGAAAATTTTAAACTTATTAACACGGGAATTTATCGGGGTCTGATTGAAATTCAAAATTAAAATGTCCAAAGCCACAACTATTGCGGAAGCGATTAGAAGATGGGAGGAGAAACATCCGGGAGAAGATATAACTGAAGCAGAAGATGTGGGTTTTCAATTTCAATGGCCGCCCATAGAAAAAATGGATAATACTCTTGCAACTTTGGTAAATTGTAAGAAACTGAGCCTTTCCACAAACATGATCGAGAAAATTTCAGGTTAATAATCCAAGACGTTACGGTTAAAGAATATAGTGATATATAGGGTATATTTAAAATACATATACATATTAAAACTAGTTGATATTTGGATTTTCCACTAATGCATAAAAATATTGTTTTTTAAATATATCTGTTAATAAAGGCCCTTGTAAAGGCATTATTAGGTTTTGAAAATTAACTTCAGAATGGAGGCACACCACATCCATGTTGAGGTAGGTTGGCTATAAATCATTTATTTTATTTAAATAGTAGAAAAATCTGGTAAAGGGAAGAAATGATAGCCGAAGTAGACTTATTCTTATAGATGTGAGAAACGCGTTTAACACAAATAAGTCAGTATCTAGGTAAAATTATAGAAAGGTTGAATCCCACAGTGTACCTACTAATGTTATAAATGTTTATTTTTTTTAAAAACAGATTGCCCTAAATAATAAAAATAAAATATTTAATTTTAGTCTCTGGTTCTTACGGTAACACATTTATTTTTTCAGGACTAAATGGGATGAAAAATTTAAAAATTCTTTCTTTGGCTAGAAACAACATCAAGTCATTATCAGGTTTGGATACAGTCGCTGATACGCTAGAACAACTATGGATATCTTACAATATAATCGAAAAAACGAAGGGAATCGGCGTTTTGAAAAAACTAAAAGTTTTGTACATCGGAAATAACAAAATCAAAGATTGGTGCGAGTTTGCTAATTTTCAGGAATGTACTGAGTTAGAAGATTTCTTGTTTGTTGGTAATCCGTTGTATGAAAGCACTGATGAGTGCGTTTACAAAGCGGAAGTTAAGAAGAGAATGCTTAATTTGAAAACTTTGGACGGACAACCTGTATCTAGAGATGAATAATACTATAAATAAAATTTTTGGTGCATTTTATTTATTTTCATTTCCGTTTTTTTTTTTTAAAACATTTTTATTGAAGCTTATTTTAGAGCAAGCGACTTCAACATATATTTTGAATCCAATAATAAAATGGATGGAAACATTTTATTTCTTCTTATTGGATTTTTCTCTAAGGATTCCATAGTTTTTGTTTTAGTTTGTTTTTTATGAGAACACATATCTATTAGATATTTACGATATAAGTGCGGTATGAACATTATTAATATATGCATGTGAAAATTGCCCAACGAGTGCGTCAGCACGAGTTGGGCAATCACATAAGTATATTAATAATGTGTTACCGGCACGAATATTGTACAATATTTTATCTACAACTGTCATGTAACAACAACTCCGAAAATTCGAAAATATATTGAATAGAATGTCGGCATATCGTTAAAATTGACTATTTGCGAATAAAAGTAACCTGTCAGTATTTTGTAACCATAGCAACGGAATTAATAATCAACTTCTGTCAAAGTGGCGTCTAAAATCGTAAAAATTCTGACTTAATGTCGCTTAAATAACCATTACAAGTACATATATTATCAATTATTGCTTCAAGTGAAGATGATCTTCCACAAGATATTAAAAATGCAGCAACCGGCGTAATAGAAAATTTAGTACCACAGAAATCACGTGAAAGATATCATTTAACTTATGATAAATATAAGAAATGGTGTAAAGATAAGAATAGTATATTATGCAACGATCATGTAATAACCATTACATGAGAGTTGCATACGCTATTTTTTCTACACCCGATAAATAATCAAGACCTATAAATATTCTATTTATATTGGCATTGAACACAATAACAGTAATTACTCGTATTTCTATAAAAAATTCTACAAAATTGTAATTAATGGTATTACCTTGGGTATTGGTATTACCACAGATTTTTGGGGCTAAATATTTTGTACTGCATTTTCTCCTTTCTCCGATATGTGTGGAAGAGTCTTCTATATCGCTGATATCAGACATTTTAATATTATAATTATCGAAGTTTAGCTATCTACGAAAATTTAATACGTTTTGACAACTAAAACAATTACATAGGAATTTAGGACAAACGTCAAACATCATGCTTGATTGAAAAATTGTAGGTTTCTATTGATTAAAAATCTGTATCATAATGAAAAATCTGTATCATAATGGGTATCATTATGAAACGGATTATGGGCATATAAGTGCATTATTATAATACGGGTGTAGAAAAAATTTTAAATATTACAAATGAAAAAGCATTACTGGTATATTTCAACTAATTGAGTAAATTACAGAAGCCTACATCTCTTTGGTGTTACTACTTGATGTTGAGGACAGAATTGCTTATTAAACAAAATATCGATATCAAAAAATATATTAATTTGATAGCATTGTTAAAACGAAAATCAGAAGGGTACAAACCTGAGAAATCTAAGGTATTTTCGAAAGAAGAAATAACTAAATTTATTGTAAATGCAGAAGATGAGAAATGTTTATGCATGAAGGTAATATATAATAGATATTTGTGTAAATGTAAATAAATATTAATGTAATATATATTTTAAGGTTGTGCTAATTATTGGTTTGGCTGGTGCATGTCGAAGAGAAGAGTTGACAAATTTATTGATAGAAAATGTAAAATATCAAGGATTGTGCTATCAAATTGTCATTCCAAATATCAAAAAAAAAATATCGCGAGAATTTTTTGTTACATCTGGGAACATTGATGGTATTAATTTAGTTACAATTGTTAGAAAATACTCTACATTAAGATCTAAAAGTTGTGGCCATCAACGATTTTTTGTTGGATACAGAGCAGGAAAATGTACAACACAACCTATTGGAATAAATAATATTGGTAGTGTGGTAGATTAATTGCCGAATTTTGAACTGCCCAATATTGCAGTATACAGGGCATTGTTTACGGCGTTCTTCAACTTCAATTTTAGCTGACTCTGGTGCAGATCTTCTAAATATTAAAAGACATGGCGGCTGGAAGTCTAATTCTTTTGCTGAAGGATATATTGAGACTTCGGCAGAAAATAATAAAAAAACAGCTATGAAAATTTTAGAAAACCAAGAAAATATACCATCGACTTCAAAACATATGGAAACTAATATTTGCAGTTATCGGGCATCGGGCATGTCTGCATCTGGCATGAATTTGTACGATTGCAAGGATTGTATTATAAATATCTATAACAAATAATTTTTTTATATTGAGTTCATTATTAATGTTATATTTGTTCTATTCTGTTACTAGTGCGGTAATGATTTCATCAGTGGTTTAGGTTTCTCATATCCTACGGAAATCCATAGTCAGACATGATGAAAATATGTGTTTCGAAAGCCATCTCATTAACTTTGGTAAAAATAGTTTGTCCACCAGGCGTTTTCAAATGTTTGTTTTTATTTGGTTTTTTATCGTTCCAACTGGCACTCCAAACTCTTTAACAGATTTCCTTTGGGATAAATTACCATTGCGTACAGCTTTTCCAGCCCTGGTCAATGTTTCTGGTGTACAGTTTTGATAATTTCTACTACCAAGTACACGTTTGTTTATTGCGGGCATATTAATGCTGAAAATAAAGTATTTATTTTAAAAAATAAAAGCTAACCTAACCCAAGCTTTAAGCTCATTTACCATTTCAAAAAAAAAAACGTGCAATAACGTATGCTAGTTAATATTCCAATAAATTAATTATAAACTTATTACCTACCCAAAATCTTCAAAAATACTTTTAAAATTACTGAGTCAAAGTCGTCACCCGAAATTTAAACTTGACAGAACAAATCTCAATATAGAACCACAGTTCAACCAGTTTTAAAAATAGGACGTATAATTTTTTGTGAACAAAAATAACTATTTACTGATTTGAGCTAAAGTCGCCCGACTTTACGGTACATATGTTTATTCATCGAAAAGCTTTGTTCTACGTCTGCAGATGTATTAGGGGCATAATTCAAATGGGTATAAAATATTTAAATAGATTCCTGTGTTTGTTTTAAAGTCTCCCGACCATAGTTTCGAAACTTTTTTTAAAATTAGAAACCCCAAATTTTTTTTCGTAGCACAGCGTAATATTTATTTAAAATAAATTTTCCTATTTTTTCTTGAACCTTTTTAAATGCTTTCTCCGCATTATCTTTTTATTCAACAGCTTCAGCTAAAGATACAGATCTATTTTGTAATTGCACAAGGACTTTTGACACAAAAGAATAATTTTATTTTGTGTTGTAATATGATCTTGTTATTTTATCTATTTTTATAGTGTTCTAAGCTCTTATGATTTTGGGCAGTGGGTCAGGTTATTAAACAACTCGTAATACTTTGAAAAAGAATATTGAGCGCCACTTTATTTAAAACTTTCTAAACTTGACAATCGATTAGTGATGAAAATATAAAAAATCACTTGCCATTAAGATATTATAATTAAATAAGGTTTCAGATAAGGCAGCGACAAATTCTAATTCACAGAGACTAATGCCCGTATGCTCCGTTAATAAGTTTCTTAACTAAGAATGATTTTCAGACTTAAGTCGTCTTTTTATAATTCACCGTCATATAAAACTTGTTAAGCATTCCTAAATTTAAGTACGACATTTTGATGACTTAAAATGCTTAAGTTGATCTTTGTAATGTCATATGTCAATGATATGTCATATCGAAATTGTGGAGTCTATTTTTTTGGTTAAAAGAAAAATAATTGATTATAATTACATAATTACAGTTTTATAATTCATACCTACTATTACATTTAAGTAATTATTATTAAAATGGAAGATGATGCATTTTTATTAGATGACGACCTAGATGTGTTAGATATTATTGACATTGGTTTTCCCAGGAGGTTCTATAATAGAGAAGATTTCTTTGAAACAATGGACAATATGTCCTTCTTTCGAAGATTTCGTTTAAGAAAACCCACAGTTTTGCAAGTACTGGAGCATATTGAGCCATTATTGGAATTTGATAATGATTTGTGAGTACCTACCTACAAATATATAAGTAATATATAAGTAATATATATGCAAAATGTGGGACAAAAAATATAAGGTACCCTTTTTTTGTAGAAATAATAGTGTTTCCCCAATAAATCAACTCTTAACAGCATTGAGGTTTTATGCATGTGGAAATCATCAAGTTGGTATTGGTGATTTCATAGGAATGCATCAAACAACAGTATCACGAATTATTAAGAAGGTTTCTTATGCTATTGCAAGTTTGGCACCGATCTACATTACCATGCCCAATCAGTTTGAAATTCTTAGGACACAAAGTGATTTTTTTTCGATGGCAAGATTTCCAATGGTTATAGGATGCGTTGATGGGACACATTAAAATTCAGAGTCCTGGTATGTACATTAAAACATAATTTAATCACAATTGTTTGTAGCACTTTCAAGCTAACCACATTATTTATGTTATATTTTAGGTGGAGAAGATCCTGAAATATTTCGAAACCGGAAGGGCTACTTTTCTATTAATGTTCAGGGTGTATGTGATAGTCATCTAAAAATAAGGAACATTGTAGCCAGATGGCCAGGCTCTACCCATGATATGACTATTTTTAACAATAGCCGAATTAGAGCTAGAATGGAGGGAGGTGAATTTCCTAATTGCCTGCTTTTAGGTAGGTGATATTTTAAAATCACAATCTGAATAATAATTTATAAAATATATTACAGGTGATAGTGGTTATGCCCTACGCAATTATTTATTTTTTAACACCTTTAGCTCAGCCAGCTATGAGGGAGGAAAACCTATATAATGAAGCTCATATAAGAACTAGAAACTGCATTGAACGAACTTTTGGGGTTTGGAAACGCCGCTTTCCAATCGTTGCTTATGGTTTAAGATGTTCTGTAGATACAATTAAAAGCATAATTATTGCTACAGCAGTTATGCATAATATTGCAGTTATTGCAAACGAAGTAGTGCCTCCTCTACCAGATAATGTCAATGAAGCCGAGCTAAATTATCTAATTGCACAAGGAGATATTCCCAATGTTGCTCCAAACAATAATATTGTTATGAATTACAGAAGACAGCTAATCCAAAATTACTTTGTAAATTTAAATTAAATGTACATGGTGTCCTTATTATAACTTAATGATAATAAAACAATATTCAGAAAATGAAATATCTTTATTTATATTCCTCTACTATTAAAAGGGGCACTTTTTAGTCAATAAAAAGTGTATAGGTACTTAAGAAATATAACAGTAATTACCTATCACTAATAAAAATTATTTACAAATTACAATCGTAAATATGTATTTAAATTACAAACCTAACTAAATATAATAGCTAAAAAGTTTAAAATAGTGTCAGATGTAATAAATAGCATCATCATTCTATTTTTTCTGCTTTTTTTCAACTATTTCAAGTTGTAAGAGTTCCAGTTTAAGTTTTCGTTCTTTTCTTTTAAAAACACGTTCCTCTTCTAACTCCTCTATTAACTTTTCACTGAGGATTAACCTTCTGTCTAGCAGAAGGTCATACTTTTCAGCGAATAAAGACGAAGACAACACTTTTACAAATTCAGTTGGTCTCCGCCGAGAACAGCTCTTGTTTTGTCTAACTGGAGTTTTGGAGGACTGATTTGATTTCTATAACAAATGATTTAATTTAAATAAATTTAAGACTAACCTCAAATAAATTAAGATAATATCATGAACACATAAATCTAATGTTAATTTTTTGTCAGAGTTCATAACAAAGTAAACATGTACCTCATTTTCTCTTCATTTTAAGACAGGATTAAGTGGAGTAGATAACTGCTTAGCTGTAAATCCAGCACCTACACTCCATTTTCTACATCCTGGCATGGAATCCTAAAAAAATAACAAAGTGCTTATAATGAAATATACAGTCATATCTACTAATATCCCTATAGTACATAGGTAAGTACCTACCAAATTTTCTTTGTTTCTTAGCACCGAGTTATTTACTGGTTGTGATTTAAGTCTAGCACCTGGATACCCAGCTAGCACATAACGTTGCCAAGCCTTTCGGCGATGTTGCATTAAGGGAACGTAATAACATTACTATACAACGTAAATGCAACGTTCATGAGAAGTTGTTGAGGGAAATCAAAACCTCGCAAAACTTCTATTTGTTATTTACCTAGTTAACCTACCGTAAACATTACAAATCTGATTTCAGAACGTTTAGTTTTATGTCAATTGTCACTTGTCAGTTTTTCTTGTCAATTGTCTTTTTTAATGGTTTATTTTTCGACATCCAGAATTTATTTTATAAATAATTATTATTTATACATTCGAATAGATTTGGTAAGGGTCCTCTATAAAATAGATAAATATTTTCTAAACCATTGTCTTTGTTTCAGATTACAATGCCTGATGTAAATTTATTATTTCATTCATTAAGTATCTTTAGCAGTCGATGCCCATGACACCAAATAAAAAAAAAACTACAATAAATACAAAGAATTGCAGATCAATCGTTGTAAACCAGAAGATAAACATTTAACCGAATGTCCGGCAACATTTTACACCAAATACTTATAAAAGGTAATTATACTTTATCGAACTAAAAATACATTTTAAAAATATTATTTTTTAGGTTTCCTTCGACATTCTAGGAATTTTAGAAGCAAAAGTAAATACTACAGAAGTGTAAAGAAGAATATAACACCTGAAGTTTTATAAAAAGTGAATCTATAGGTACATGATATGTCAGGTATATCAGAATTCAAGCAGTTCATTTTCTTCAACAGGCTAGATTGCCTGGAAATGCAACCATCATTTCAAGTGAAAACCCAGCAGAAAAGTTGAAAGAAATCATAGATGATACTCTCAAGTATAATAGAATATCTTGCTAAAAAACACCAGTTGTTTTTTATAAAATCTACATATCGATGGCTCAATCAAATACTGCCACAACTAAATTACTATTATTTCGAGAAATTTCATTTTGAAATTTTGTAAGTCTCTATTATCATTATTTTGTTTTTGACATACTCTTTATATTTTATTTAAAAGCTTCGATATTTTGCTGTTAAATAAAATGATTACGATTATAAAAGTGAGTTGTTGCATAGTTGTAAAAAATTTGGGTGTTTTTGAAGAAAATAACTCGAATTGAGGCAGTTTTAGACACAGTTTGTGGCTACATTTTAAATGATTTATCTTTAAGGATATTTTTGTTTGTGGTGGTATTTAAAGTAAAACCGTAATGATATTTTGCATCCATTGAACCAAAAATGTAATTGCTTTGTTTTTTGACTTGTGGCGTTTTTTGATTGAGCCATCGAAATATCTACTTTGGAAATCAAGCATAAAATTTGTAAAATTCAAAAAAATTTCAATACACTAACATTGGTTGTTTTATTTAAAACAACAAAGTAAGGCATATTTTTTAATTTCTATATAATTTCCTTTAATTAATAATAGGTAAACAAGTTATCAATTTCTTTTTTATTCAATGTATTGAGAAGTAAAATCTTTTTATATAAAAATATAATTTATTCTCTTCTAATAAATTGTCATATTTAGGTTACATTATAGCACTTTATAAATATCTATGCAAAAAAAGTTAAAAGGCTTGATTTAAAAAAGATATATCTCTGCGTCTTAGGTAAGAAATCAGCTAACTTAGCTATCCTCTAGTAATCTAATATAATAATATGTACCTAGTCATTGTTGTATTCGTTTATTATTTTTCACCAATCTAGCTTTATCATCGTTCACCATTTAAGGTTTTAGTGAACCTTTGCAATATTGGTACCTTATTATACTATTTAGCTAATTTTGTCCAATCGTTCAGTGCTTTCTAGGTAGCTTCTTCTATCCCACATGTGTACTTGTGTTTGTGATATAAGGTGTGTTCTTTTATTCAATAATTGTTCTATCAGTGATTGATGTAATTTATCTATTCTGCAGTCGTTTTATATTTGAACTCTTATATTTTAGGTTAACTTAAATGATTGATTATCCTCACCATTCGTCTATCACATATCCATCGGCTTTTAAAGCCGATGGATGCCTTGGCTCATTGGTGAACTCACCGCTGGAAAAAAGAATGATTGACACATACAATCGTCTTTCCATCACTTAATTTACGAACGGTTTGCTGCAAGCGCTGGATACAGCACTGAATAAAAGAACACGCCTACACCTACCTCTACTTTTGTGCTATTGGTACTTGATTTCAAGAACATTTTAATAATAAATTTATATAAATATTTTGTTTTATTTGAAATTTTCATGTCTCGATTGAGATTTTACTATAGCCTCAATTTCAGCCTCTCTGTATTACATTACACAATGTGTGTCCATGGATGGACTTAATTATACTTGTAAAAATATTTATTTTAAATTAAAGAAAAAGTTATTTTTCATAATTTCTCAATGTGAATCGAATTTATTTAACAAGCAAGAAATTATGAAGAATTACTTTTTTAATTTAAAATAAATATTTTCACAAGTATAGTTAAGCCCATCCGTGGACACACTGTATAATGCTGCAGATCTAATTCACATTATAACATCAATAGAACGTTTCAGAGCAACTTTCGGGGTAAGTACCGTAAAAGTGCTAGTGTGATGTTTTCCGAACTTCACTTTATAACTTCTACGAGATGTGCTATAAAAGTCTTGCAGTTGCGGACATTCGGTAGTTGCAGGGATAATAGGGTTACGTTTACGGTACATTGCATGCGAGCTTAAAGAGCCTAAAATTGCAGCTTATTAACGTAGATGGGATGTTTTTGTGCTAGCTGGGTAGTGATTGCTGGTTTTATTAAGTGGCAGGATGTCCTAAAAATGTAAAAATTTGGTGATTAACACGAACAAAAGAATTAAAATAAGTTTATATAAAAAAGTTAAATCAGTATATTTTTACATACATTTTCACAATTGTTGTCTTCTTCATCATCGTCCATGTCAGACTCATAATTAGAATGTTGATTTTCATTATTTTCAACTTCCAAGTATTCAAATTCCACGTTTTCATTTACTTGTATTTTTGGAGTGCTAACATTATCACTGTCAAACTGATGTGGAGTTAATCCATATATAGTTTTTTTGTTCATTATGGACAGCATTACATCTTCTGTATCATCAAGTTTTCTTATGGGTAATTTGCCACAACCCGTCTTATTTAGGAACTTTTTCTCCTCGATATTATTCTTCTTTACCTTCTTTTTCTCATTATCATAAAATGTTTTAATTATTTCTGTGTCCATGACATGCTCATCATTGTCTAAGACGTTTGCTTCCAAATAACCTAATTTGGCTTTCTCTGCCTTCAAAATTCGTATGTCATGCTTCTTATTACAAAAAAACTTTTTCAACCTCTCTGCTTTTCGGTATATACCATCTGCATTGGAACTATTAAATTCAGTTTCAATACATTTCCATGCTTCATTTTTGGTATCCATAGATGTTCGGTCAGTCTTTTTGTCCTCGATAATATGCGCGTACTTGCTTATTATGGATACTAATAATTGTTTTTCATTTGCCGAAAAATTACTTTCTCTTTTTCGCTTTCCGAAATCACTCATTTTACAAAACTAAACACCGTTAAATTTAAAAAATATATTCTACAAAACTAAAGTCTTTAACACAATTAAATTTAAGAAATATACTTTACAAAACTAAACTATTAAACAAAATCAAATTTTTACGAATAAACAGAAATCAGCAGAAACATGTGCCAGAGCCAGAAACATTCGCGCGGGAATCGGAAAATTAAATTTAACCTGCAAAACATGAAAAATGAAAACACCTAGCAATTTTGACATGTAGTGTCAAAACAGTAACTAATAGTAAACTGTATGGCACAAAATTTCCTAAGTATTGCGGTGTTGTCAATGTTATTCTGATCTTGGTTAAGATAACTTATTTGAATGACGCTGCATAAGAAAGTTGGTCTTAAATTTAAGATCGACTTAACAAAGTTGTTCTTAGTTGTAAAACGGTGCATGTAGGCATTACTTATTCAAATTTAAATGATTTATTAAAGACTTATCTGTGGTATAACAGGTAGTATTTTAGGAGTGACTGTAAAGGCCTTCTTCTAGATGATTCATATGAGATACTTCGGATATCACCAACTCTTCAAGTATAAATCTTCCTAGGTAAACTTAAATCTCATAAATTTCTTAGATGACTTGAACTAAACCTCTTGATATACTGGAAATCAACTTCTTTAGCTGGAACTAAACTTCTAAGTTTCAATACTTCTACATATGCAGCTAGTACGTTCTTCCAAACTTCTGAACAATCTTTTTTGATATAACTTCTACAAAACTTCTACAGAACCATCTAGATACAGCCAGGCTTTTTAAAATCAGACGGTCATTAAAAATATTAATAGACAATTAGTACATGTTTAAGATAAAAGATAATTAAAATTCAATAAATCAACTTGCTCGATGACAGATATAAATCAAAATGAATTACCCTTTTGACATAAGGCATAAACGACAAATGACATTTGTGTAGAGATGTTTGCGTCAAAATAACGAAAACGGTTCCAACCGTTACAATGACAACCGTTCCAATGTTTGGGTCTAAATAACGAAAACGGTTCCAACCGTTGCAGTGTAAACAAGTTCACGTGGTAGTTGTTCATTTTCTAATAACCCTTTAGACTCTGGAAGAGCATCTGAAGAGGAATATGTTAAATCAATAATTACTTTTTTATTGATTCGTAATGTTTCGCAAAAAGTAAAACTGCATCAAACCATGTGCCCCACCGGGTTATTATTGGTGAATATCTAGAATATCTAGAAGATTTTCTTTATAAAATTGGATTCTTATTGGAGATTTAAGAAAAACTATTTTAATGTTACTTGTCAAATTATTAACGATTGGAAACTGAGATCTAATACATTCTGCAACTCTGTTAATACCGTGAGCCACACATGGATAAGGTGCTCACAATTTTTTTTTAAATTTTGTTCCACTTTAATCATATAAGGAGCAGGGTATGACAATAAAAGTATAAATTTACTAGAAGGGACAATATTTGGTAAAAAAAGTTAGTAAATCCTGTACAAATGTAGTCACAGTTAAATTGTTTGTTTTTTAAGCTGCTTGGATGATATAAAGTTTATCTTCATGTAGAATTCCAATTAATAAATGTACAATACGTCTTCCACGAGAATCGGTAGTTTCATAAATTACAATATAAAAGTTATGAGATTTACAGCCAGTTTTTCAAGTGAAAATTATAGTTCATATTAGTTAATTACATATTAACTATAATTAACAATTAGTGAATGTGTGCGTTTTTCCAGCAAAATTTAATCAACAATTAGCTAATTTAGAATTAGCCATTTTTTTCTACAGGTTGGTAATACATTTAATATATTTTATGGATTTTGAACAGAAAAAGAAGAAAATTCTAACCTTTCTGCAAAATCCTTCGAATCGCTACTTTTACGTTTGCCGTTTATGCTATAAATACAGTTATTTACATTGTATAATACAAGTGGATATTTATATAAATACACTGTCACTAATTAGCGGAAAGGTTCTTACATTTATGGAGAGGTATGTTAGTTCAGAATATTAATTTGTACACAAAATTTTATATGAAAAAATTTTTAGAAAAAAGGAAAAACGCGAACGAGCAGCAAATTTTACGTCAGACGATGATCACATTCTTGTTTCACTGGTTGAGAAATATAAAAAAGTAATAGAGTGTAAAAAAACCGGAGCTATCACATGGAAACAGAAGGAACAAGTATGGAAAAAATTTGAAAGCGAATTTAATAGCCAAACATTAAATGGACCAAAGTCTTCAAAACAACTGAAAATCAAATACACAAATTTAAAACAACAAATAAAAAAGAAATATGCTGAGCATCATAGAAATATTTTGAAGACTGGAGGTGGGACATCTGAAGATGTTAACTTTACCGATATAGATTTGTCTGTTAAAGAGTTAATATCTAGTCAAGTTGTAGGTCTATCGAATGATGTTGACTCGGACAGTGTTCAAAGAGGTTAGTATAATTCAAATATCTTTAAAAACATATTTGATGAATATTTTGTAGATATTATAGATAAACTGAAGGATGGCGGAGAAAATATAATAATTTTGACTGAAGAAGCTTCTAATAAATTTGAAGACCCTTTTATAGATTTTGCAAATTCAAAGTTAGATACAAATACTAAAGAGCTTCCTAATTGGTCTTCATATTGCAGTGACATGTTGAAAAATCCTGTATCTGAAAAATTAAAATCAACAAACATGCAGGCTAAAGAAGAATATATATTTGATGAATATCAAACTCCTATTAAGAAGAATGAGAAAGGCAACACATATGTACCAGTAAAAAATATTTTAAACAATAAAGAAAATACTATAGAGATATCCTCTGGAACATCAAAAACACTGACAAAACCAAAAGAGTATTCTACTAAATATTTACATATTCAAGAAAGGTTAATTCTTAAAAAATTTGATTTTATTGAATTCCAGAAGCAGAAGTGTTTGGAAGAATACAATGAAAAAATTAATCTTATTAATTTACAAAAAGAAAAAATTCATGGAGAATATGAACAAAAAAACAAACTGTTTGAAAAAGATCTTCTTTTGAAAGAAAAATCTCTCCAAGAATATGAACTGAGGATTGAATTACTAAAAAAAGAAATATTGTTAAAAGAGAAACAGCTAAGAATAAATTTAAAAGACTTATAAATATGTATAAGACAGTTCATTATTTTTGGTTTAATAGAAATAAAATGTTTTGAAATAAAAATAATTTTTAAATACTTTATTTACAATCTAGAGAAGTGATTATTTATAAAATTGTATCTGGTTCTTTCATCAAATCTTATTCTTCTTTGAATGTAATGGATCTCTGGCATATTATTTACAAAATTTACTGCTGCTTCTTGATGTTCATTTAGGGGAGGGATAGGATCTCTTTCTTGGATAGCAATATTATGAAGTATAGCTGTAGCTACTGTCACTTCCTGTATATTATTAATGTTTAATCTAAGTCCCATAGCCAAAGCAGGAAATCTGCACTTCCAAACTCCGTACTGCCTTTCAACTACGTTTCTGGTTCTAATTTGAGACTCATTATATAATGCTTCTGCTTCATTTCTAGTTTCCAGTAATGGTGTTAGAAGATAATTTTTACTTTCCTATCTGTATACAGATATAAGGAAAGTATAGGAATCATGATTTTTTTCGACCTCGAGTTTTTGACGGATTTTTACGTTTTGAGGTCCCCTGAATCCGTTTTGACTATTTTCGCGATGATGTCTGTGTGTGTGTGTGTGTGTGTCTGTGTGTGTGTGTGTCTGTATAACGCATAACTCATGAACCGATACACATAAAAACACCAAATTTTAAACTTAAGCTTTGTTTCAGCGTCCAATGAGCTGATTAGATTTTGGGCAGAGTCGGAACATCTGGGGGGGTACTTTATAGGTGGTTATTTTTATATTTTATGGAATATATTCGTTATTTACGTTTGGAGAAGAAAATTCTTCAAATAAAAGTTACTAACAATATTATTATCTATAATTTTTGTTCTATATAAAATTTTCCTAAAATGGTCCGTATTCGAGAAATTTGACAAAATGTAAAAAAAATAATTTTTTATAAAAATTGTTTAAATAAAAGTAGTTTGTAATATAATTCTCTATAATTTTTATTCTATACATAATTTCTCTAAAATGGACCGTATTCGAGATATTTGAGAAAATGTGTAAATTTCGAAATTTGAAGAAAACTCAAAAACGGATAAAGGAAAAAACATTAAATTTTAAACTTAAGGTTTATTTCGGCCTGACGTGAAATTATTAGATTTTGGACAAAGTCGGAACATCTGGGGGGGTACTTTATGGGAGGCCGTTTATATATTTTATGGAATATATGTTATTTATGTTTGGAGAAGAAAATTGTTCAAATAAAAGTTACTTCTAATATTATTATCTATAATTTTTGCCTTATGTAAAAATTTCCTGAAATGGTCCGTATTCGAGAAATTTGACAAAATGTGCAAAATTCTGATTTTTATGAAAATTGTTGAAATAAACGTTGTTTGCGATATCGATCTCTATAATATTTGTTCATACATGATTTTTTTAAATGGACCGTAATGGAAAAATTGTAGGAAAAGTGCTAAATTTAAATTTTTCAGTATTTTCATTTTCAATGAATATCTATAGAAAAATGTTTCGCGGTAGATGTATGTGGACAATGTATATATATATTTAGTTTATCCTCTTAAACATTTATAGAGATGTTGCAATAGGTTGTACACAATAAACGGAAAAAGCCTGTAATAACTAGATAGGAAAGTCATGTGTTGGACACATCAGATTTTTTATGGCATAACCACTGTCGCCAATAATAATATTATTTCCAAAGTGACCATTTTCAAATAAATTATGGATATGAGAATTTCTAAAAATACATGAGTCATGTGTTGAACCTGGCCACCTAGCTACTATATCTTGAATTTCTAAATCTGCGTTGCTAATTGTTTGGACATTTAATGAAAAATATTTTTTACGGTTACGAAATAGTTCAGCG